TCCCCTCTCAGTCTTCTCTTCTTCAGGCTGAACAAGCCCAACTCTCTCAGCCTTTCCTCGTAGGGGAGATGCTCCAGTCCCTTTATCATCCTAGTTGCTCTCCTCTGGACTCTTTCTAGGAGTTCCTCATCTTTCTTGAACTGGGGAGCCCAGAACGGGACACTTGGGATCCCTTCGGAAGCGCACAGCTGATCTGAAATAAAATGTTTGCATAGCTTTTGTCCCTCTCCCAGCACTAAGTCTTAACAAAATGTCTGAAACACTGCAGCTGTTCAATAGTGTGCCTGCAGCAGAAATTTCTCCCTAATCTCCATCAGTTAGCATTGATAGAGAGACTGAAATCTTGAGGTATCCTGGAAGAGGATAAGAAATGGCTGTATTTGTGATCAGTTGTTTTTGTAATTTGTGGGTATAATGGGGAGTAACTTCCTTCCAGAGCGTTCCATAATTCCCTTCTTTGTACATTTTCTGAAAGCTTTGCTCAGGCATTGGCTCCTTTTTCAGAAGAATACTTTTCCATTGTAATCAGATTTGTACTGCCTAAAAATAAAGTCATTGCCTGCTCTGTACCAGGAATGTATTTAAACTAGCAAAATTTTTCCTCTCCTTTGCTTTATGGCCCAGACACGATAACTGTAGAAACAAATATAGTAGTTAACATAAAGCATTGCCATATACCGTCTGTTTGTTGGGACCTGATGATCTCAAAGGTCTTTTCCAACCTAAACGATTCTGTGATTCTGTGATTCTATGACCTGTATGCTGAAAGATGTTGTGTCAGTAATTACCCAGATCACCCCAAATCACTGTCTTCAGAGATTAGAAATCAGCTGGCTGGCTAGCTGCTAAAGCAGTTGGGGATCATTCATACCACTTCTTTTGTTAGCTGAGGAGCCAGGTGAGACATATTTAGTGAGCAATATTTGTTCTTCAGTACAAAATTATACTGGGGGAAGCAAAATGTTTACCTGTCTGTACCTGAGCCGCCTGTCTGAGTGGACTTTGGAGGAACGCCCCATCAGCCATGGCCTGTGTGGCAGATCCCGTGTGGCTGGGGACAGTCGCGCCATCCACTCAGGTCCATGGCTGTGGCCGTGCCGCGGTGCCCACCTGGCACTGGCTCATTGGGTGCTCTCGGCCTTCTCGGCTCCTGCCTTGAGGCAGCTGTTGTCACTGTAAAACAGCCCCAGGTATGTTAGCTATGTGTGGATGTCATGAGGATGGAGCCAGACTCTTCTCAGTGGTGCCCAGCAACAGGACAAGGGGCAATGGGCACACTGAAGCATAAGAGGTTTCAGTTGAATATGAGGAAGATCTTTACTTTGAGGGTGACAGAGCACTGGAACAGGCTGCCCAGGGGGGTTGTGGAGTCTCCTTCTCTGGAGATATGCAAAGCCAGCCTGGACGAAGTCCTGTGTAACATGCTCTGGGTGAACCTGCTTTAGCAGGAGGGTTGGAGTGGATGATCTCCCGAGGTCCCTTCCAACCCTTGCCATTCTGTGATTCTGTGTGTGCACCACACCCAACACAAAACGTAGCAAAGCATGAACTCTCAGTATCCGCTTTTGCCTTGAATTCACTTGCAAAAGGTGTCTTTTGAACCCCACATTTATGGAAACCAGGTCATCAGTAACAGGGAAATACAAATTCTCTGGTAACAAAAGTGGTTAATACCAGGCTTTCACTTTTGAAGTTACTATAAATGGAGTCATATTACCATGAGCAGGCTTAAGAAATGTAGGGCAAGTCCCAACAGCCCTGGAGAGGGGCTGAGGCTGGGCTGAAGATTTAAGAGAAGACACAAACTTGTCTGGCGCTGGCAGCTCCCCTTGTAGTGAACGGAGCACAACTGGTGCTTCTTGCTTGAGGGCAGAGGGGGAAAATCCTCCCCTGACACACTGCAAGGTGTTATTCTCCACATTACTTCAGTTTTATGGTTTACTGAAAAAAAAAAGTGAACAGATTCTGCGAGGGCAGTTCAAAGTGCTTCAGCATCGCGCTGCTGTTCCTCGTGCAGGTGACACTGTACAACCAGGTGTCCGGCTGGCTGTCACCTACCGCAGGTAGGTCCTGTTGACTCTGGGCTAGAAGACTGATCTGAAATAGAGAGCTCTCCTTGAGATGCTTTGATAACGAGAACCATCTTTTGACCCATGCTAACATTCGGAGAATCTCAAAGCAATTTTATGTCGCCTGTGCCTTCTGGAAGCACATCAAGAGGTATTTAAGGGAATTAAAGGTACTTGAGGTATTAAGGAAAGGAAAAGGGAAGTGTCCTGCTGTAGGCACCATGGCAGAAACAGTTGCTGGAGGCAGGAAACTGGCTCTGGTCAGGGAAGCGGGATTACTGGGGGTATCTGAGGCTCCTGCAGTAGGGTCCTCCATACACCGGTGCCGAATGCTTCGCTAGATCTGTAGTGTGGTAGTTGTTCATGTAATACTTATTTGTACATTCAGTCATTCAGGATGTGGTTCTTAATGCTCAAGACTGTACTCCTTGAGCTAAAACACTGACTCAGAGTTTTCTGTTTACAGAAAGAAACAAAAAAATTCATTGCTTTTCTCCTTTTTCTTTCATGTTTTTCAGCAGTTCCTTATCATGCTGTGAAACTGCCTTACCCAGCTTCTACTTGACATAATTTTAATGCAAACATTTTAATCTGCTGCTTCCTTGCATTGTTCACTTTTACTGTGCGCTATTTCCCATTTGAGTGCTTACTAAAAAGTTTGGAAATCTACTATTAAAAATATGTTATTAATATCTATTAACTTTCATATGTATTAATTTTAATATTTGTATTGGCTCTATTTACAATATTAATAAGATTTTATAACGTATCATTGCTGTTCCTGTAAGAAGATAATAAAAAGCAGATGATCTAACACCCTTCTGTAATTTATTTTCCTGTACAGCTTGCAAATGTTTGTCCTTACCAGAAAAGGATTTAGAAAAGACTAGCTTGACTTTTCACAAAATCCAAATGCTAAATGTGATAGACGAGCTACATGTGAACAATGAGGTCTAAAAGTCAACTTTTTTTTTTTCTCTGGCAAATGGGCAGATCTGAACAGCTTTATTGTAGCACTCACTACAAGCAATTTATGCCTGTACTAACAGACTATATAAAAAACGTAACTGCCATGTTAAGCACAGGTGCTAGGAACAGGCTACAAAGTCATTTTTATTAGTCCAACATTCATAGTATAATCTAATCATCACTAAGCATGACTCATCTTGCTACAGCCTCTTTTATGAGAAGTCAGAAGAGTGTTACTCCTTATTCCATGCAGACTGCATTAGTATGGATGAGTCCCAATCCTAGAGCCCCTTTCTGCCACAGAGGTAGAGAACAGCCTGTAAGAAGTTTCAAACTAAAACTGAACAGTGAAAACTTCTCGGCCTTTTGGCGAAGATCAAGAGTAGTATCTGTTCTTATGGGTTTAATATCTGATACATCCGTGATGAGAGGACTTTATATTAAATGGATTTTTGAGGATGGGAGTTGGACCCGGAGCTTGCTCCCAGTATTATTTTTTCAAGACCAGGTTGGATGGGGCTCTGAGCGACCTGATCTAGTTAGTGGTGTCCCTGCTCACTGCAGGGGGGTTGGACTAGATGACCGCTAAAGGTCCCTTCCAACCCCAAACATTCTATGATTCTATGAACAACAAAACATCCTTCAAATACACTGTACTTAGGACGTTCCTGTGACACAGTAAACTCCCTCCACTATGTCGTTAAGACCAGGCACCTAAACAGGAGTTTTCACATGCTGCCTGATTTATATCCATGCTATGCTGGGCTACTGAGTCTTTCTGTTGGGTTTAAAATAGAAAAGTTTTAGTTTTCTGTCCATGCAGAATGGGAAAGTTTCTGGAATCTTCCAGCATTTCCCACTCACCCAAAACTGTCATCATTGTCAAATGGTGTTTCAGGTGTACTGAACTTACTCCACATTACTCCAATGTGGTTGAGCTCAGTAAGCCTTCTGGTATCATGGGGAGAACCTCAGTGTTAGCAGCTTTGTTGAGTATTACACCTAAGTCACCCTACGATCAGGATATTTTTAAACAGAAAAGAAAGGAAAGCCATCAGGATTGAAAATGTTGCTGTGAGGGCTGTACTGCAGAAAGATTTATTTGCCCATGCAAGGTAGGTATCTTATTAAATGAGTACCAATAATGAACTTATGAATTGCAGGGCAATAAACATCCTGCAATAAACATTTTGCCTGAACATCTGCACATCATAGATGTCAGCAGATATGAAAACTCAAGACAAGATTCTCAGTTTATGCAAGCAGGTGTAACTCCATTGACTTGAATATAACAATGTATATTAACACCAACAAAACAGAAAAGAACACCAAGGTCTTTTGGAAGATATTTTAAGAAACACTTTATTATTTAAATATGTGATATAAATCTTTCTCCTTACAGTCATAAACACAGATTGCCAAGAAGTTAATTATCAGCCTGACAACACAGATATAGAGATATAAAGATATGGATATAAAATATACAGACTGCAATTGTTCCTTGGTGAAGTATTTTACCTCACTTTGGTTAGGTAAATAATCTCACCAAGACCTGTTAATTGATTCATTGCCTGTTACTCCTTATTTGTCACCCTTATTTTAAAAATATACATTTATCTTGTGCTAATGAGGAGCAGGAATAAAAGCCATTCTCACCTGATGGGAGTGCATCAGAATGTGCAGAGTGGTTAGGTTAGTGTACAAAGCTCAAAATAAAATGCTCAAAGCAATCATATCCCTGGAATCAGAGAATAGCAAGTTTGGGTTCCTTAAAGGGAAGAAAAAGGCAGTAAAACAGATAGCCCTAAGGTAAATCCTCCGGAGGAAGAGAATATAAAATAGTGTAAATATGTTTTGCTCTATGCTGTATTGGTTCTTCTACAAATAGTTCACTGTGTAGATGATGGAGAGGGAACTTCCAGCGGGTGCGTCGTACCTTTAGCCATCTGAATAGTCCTGAGATGCCCATTGCTCATCATGGGCTATATAGGGTCAGGTGGCCTAGCATGATATGGAGTGGAAATGGGCCCACAACAGTGCTGCAAACACCTGCTAGAAGACAGCTGTTCAGGAGGTGCTTTGCCAAGACACCCGCCTAAGGTCATTCTTTTTACAAAGTACTTCCTCTCAGCAATTCAGCATTTGGTTTTGTGGCTGGTCTATTCATGAACTCGCGTTGGTAGAAAGGGGCAACATTTTGTTAGATACCTACAAACATCATCTCCCATGTATCTTCAGACTGTCGTGATACAACAAAATTATTTGGTCTATTCACAGCACTCTGCTAGGAGTTGCGGGAGTGTTACAGTACTGCTTGGGGAAAACCTGTGGAGTTGCCCTCTCTTCCAGCTGTATTGAAATCACAATAAGCTAGATAGGTGCAGTTAAGCTAAACATTACTATATTAGCCACAAGCAGATTTACCACTTTTTTGCTTAGAGGAATCTTACTATGGCATCCTCTAATGTCAGGATATTAGCGAATTAAGAGACACATAAGTTTCTGTAGGATTCCAAGTTGTCCACCCAAACAACTATTAATACAATCAAGAAGTAAATCCCAAGATTTTACCTCCATAATTATGCAACATGTACCTCCAGTATTCCCTTAAGTCAGAAGTGATTTTGTCGAGAACTGACACAGCATTAATCTAATAGAGAAAAATTACTTCTCAAGCAGCTCATGAAAATGGCAAAATATAATTGCCGTAATGGCTGGTACAGCTGCCTTACAGGAACTGTCTTCAGAGAATAAATAATTTCATTGCCACTAAAATATTTATTTCCCTCCCTAAGCCTTCAGTTTGATTTTGTTTTTTAAATGGTATTCTGCATTTGTCGTGCTTTGGTTTTCTTCAGCACTATGGGTTCCATTTTTCAATGACAGGATTGCAGGTCAGTTTTGTGTAAGATACTCAGGACCGGTTTGTTTTCCATAAGGAAAAAGAAGAAAAGAATTAGTTTTAGGAAATCCAGATCAAAGGAGAGTCAGATTTTGTATGTGCATATCAAGACTAAGTTCAAAGATTCAGACCCATCAAATTATGCATAGCTATCTTGTTTATATGTGTGACTGCGTTATACACTTCCTCCCCATTCGTTGCCTGCTGTTGAGACTGCAAACTTGCGAACTACTATAAACATGTTTAAATTTAGCATCCCGAAGTCTTTTATATCAAGACACATAGTTAAGTATATGCAAGAACTGCAATGAATGTATTACAACATCATCAGGGCTTAAGACAGGCTTATGTGCCTGCGCAGGGCCCTTCCCAAGAAAATACTAAATACCACTTGAAGAAATGCACTGCCCTGAGAAGCAGCCACAATCACATCAAGAGCAGAGCTCTCCAGGGTCACCTTTCATTTTCTGGAGAGCCTGGCCAGGAAGCCCCTCCAACTCTAAGTTTTCCCCACCACTTACTCTACATTACTTAGCAGTTTTGTTTGGGTTTTTTTTTAAGTGGTCCATTTTGACCCTGAAAAACAAAACAGGCTGGATCCAGCTGAATGAACAGTAAAATGTATGGCAGCCCATCTTAACAAGTAATTGGCCAGCACAAACGTCAATCCTACTCATCACAGTGTTGCGTGGGTAGTGTGCCCCTGAGCAACCTCGTGCCAGGTTGGAACCTAAATTTATGGCTATAAAAATGCACGAGAAGGATAAAACGTAGTATCCTGATGGGCTAGACAAATGCAAAGACATTGGGAGTCTCGCACAGCCTTTATGAAGGGAGCCCCATGTCCAGCAAAGTGAGTCTGGTTGGCTTCCACACCCCAATTCCTAAATATAGGTGGCCTTAGGCTTTCCACGGGTGCATCTGAATGGCCCTTACTGATACTTAATACCACTTTACTTTTCAAACAGAAAACCAACGAAGCCTCCACTTTCCCCCTTCCCTAAAAAGTATCCAGACAAAATCCAGTATGTTCAAAATGGAGGTTATCAAAGCAAAGGCACTTCTACATGGCTATGATGCTGATTTTCACAGCCTGTAAAATAAGTGATGAAGACGATATTTATGATGGTCACATTAAACACACTTTTTGGCTGTTGTTTTTTTAATCCACTGATATATACAAATGTATCCTAATGTTTGGATCCTGCAAGCAATTAGGTGTACTGTTAATTTTACTGATGTGTAAGGTGATGTGTTTATTTACACACAGGTCCTAGATTTGGTTCCACTGAAATATCAACTTATTTCTTCCATCTTTATTCTTATTTATGCTTTTGACAAAATATTGATAGAAGTGCTGCAAGCAGGCATCTGAATAGTTCCTGGCCCATGAGCAGTGAGTGTGGCAGGGAGGACTGAATACAAGCCAGCAGTGTGCCGATGTGGCCAAGAAGGCCAACAGCATCCTGGCTTGTATCAGGAATAGTGTGGCCAGCAGCAGTAGGGAAGTGATCGTGCCCCTGTACTCGGCACTGGTGAGGCCGCACCTCGAATACTGTGTTCAGTTTTGGGCCCCTCACTACAGGAAACATGTTGCATTGCTGGAACATGTCCAGAGGCGAAGCAACCAAGCTGGTGAGGGGTCTGGAGCACAAGGCTTATGAGGAGCGGCTGAGGGAACTGGGGTTGTTTAGCCTGGAGAAGAGGAGGCTGAGCAGGAGACCTTATCGCCCTCTACAACTCCCTGAAAGGAGGCTGTAGTGAGGTGGGTCTTGGTCTCTTCTCCCTGGTAATGGGCAATAGGACAAGGGGAAATGGCCTCAAGGTGAGCCAGGGAAGGTTTAAATTGGACATTAGAAAACATTTTTCCGCCAAGAGGGTTGTCAAGCATTGGAACAGGCTGCCCAGGGAAGTGGTCGAGTCCCCATCCCTGGAGGTATTTAAAAGATGTATAGATGTGATGCTTAGGGACATGGTTTAGTGGTGGGATGGCAGGGTTAGGTTAACGGTTGGGCTTGATGATCTTAAAGGTCTTTTCCAACCTAAACGATTCTATTATTTTATGACTCCTGCGCGCACCCGGTCTGGCAGCACCACCGCTCCAGAGGGGCCGGTTCTTCCCTTTGGGCAGATCATCAGGTAGCTCCTATGGTATGGGAAAGAAATGGGATAAGGTATAATCACAGAATCACAGAATCACAGAATCGCAAGGGTTGGAAGGGACCTCGGGAAATCATCTAGTCCAACCCCCCTGCTAAAGCAGGCTCTCCTAGAGCATTCTACACAGGACTTCATCCAGGCGGGCTTTGAATATCTCCAGAGAA